AAACGACTATCACAACGGATCAAAAAAAGCCGTTTGCAGTAAGCAGTTGCAGTGTCCGGTAGTGTTGCGCAGTTTTTAGGTTTTTTTGGTAGTGAGACATACCCTACAGCACAGGGTCAGACGTTAGCCATAGGCCAACCGATGTCCTGACCGCTTGGGACATCCACGTTGCCTAAGCAATGCAAAACAAGGACAACACAGCGAATTTAGGATAATTTGGAGAATTCTGTACAGGTTAGTGATCTATTTTTTCTTTCGGATATTCTGTCGGTCACGGTGTAGGCTTAGTAGGTGATTTCAGTAAGAAAGGCCACCTACGCACGATGTTGCCGGGGCTGCCAGCTTCCGATCGAGGATTTTTAATGGCTAACGCTGTCTTAATACTTTTTATTATACGAGAAGAGTACTTTAAAAAACAATTACACAGGCAATATTAACTACACAACGAGGACAGCTAGCCATTGTTCTAGAGTTAAGTATAGTCCGGCTACCCGTCAATCTGCACATAGTTCAACCTATGCTGGACTGGCCAAGAAACTGTTGAACATCGGTCTGCCCCTCTCATTCGTTAGACTTGTCCATTCATATGTCTCTCAAGTCTAATCACAGTAAAGTAGCGGGGTCACTTCTCTGATTCTTTTACTCCAACAGCAGGAGTACCACAAGGTTCTGTGTTGGCTCCCATATTATACACAACTTACACTTTGGTGGGACCGACTACAGCTCCGCGACCGGATCGAGTACCTCGGTCTGGTGTTTACACGAACACTGAACTGGAAGACCGATATGGACATAGCCTGTAACAAGGCTAGGAGTAGACTCTGTCTACTCAATGCTCTTTGTGGTAAATTCGGAAAAACACACCCACGCTCACTCATACATACAGATAAAACATTCATTAGGCCGGTCATCGAGTATAGATCCAATATCTATATTACGTTACGCGGCCATCTCACACAAAAACTGCTGGGATTGGAGAGGAGAATGCTGCATAGAGTGAATAAAAAAGCGCCGCGACTACCCCTCCGCCCATATTCATCGCCTGTCGAATGTCCACCCCATCGATGAGAGGCTTTCCTCTCTGAGCAGGAGTTACACAATCAGAACCATTCGAGGCCAAAACTTTGGAGCCCAAAACATTTTGACAACTATCTGCTCGTCCATCGGCAATATATTCAAAAGAAAACCTAAATCTAAATTCCCCTTCCTACTCGCAATTTTGCTGGTCCTTGCCAGCAACGAGTTCCATTGACATTGACATCCACGAGACAACTCCCCTCTATTATCGACGTCGCAATAACGTGTAAATGCTTACTTCGAGATTGTCTAGACAGGGAGGGATCGGTTTTCTGTGGTTTCCCGATCCCATTGCACAATGATACGTATCTATTGTTGAGGATACAGCCACAGCTGCCCTCTCGCGAATCGCGATTCAACATATTTATTATTATCAAATTGTAAACATATTAATTCACATATTCATAATTTTTTAGAACAATAAGTTCTGAAAAGGACCGTTAACCAACACCCCTTTCGCCTCTGACTGTCCAGCACGATCCTCCGACGACAAGTCCAAGAAGCAAACCACCAGTGGAATCCACGAAGCCAGCGAAAGCCAAACAACATCCTACAAAAAAACAAACAACGTCCTAAAGAGGTGGAAAACTTAAAACAGGGCACCACAATACCAGACAAAAAACACACCCACAGAAAAGAAACAACCAGACAATAAGTTGTATCAACGGATTACTACTACAACGGATTAGAACAAAAACCTAGATTCATCCTTTCTTCTTCTTCTTCAAGTGCCCTGTCCGTTGCGAACGTTGGCTATTAACATGGCAATTCTGATCTTGTTTGCGGCGCTTCTGAATAGTTCGACCGATGTGAGCCCGAACCACTTCCGCAGATTTTGGAGCCACGAGTGTCTTCTCCTCTGGCCCTCCCTTACTGTCTATTTTTCCCTGGACAATCAATTGTAGCAGACGGTACTTATCGTGTCTCAATATGTGACCTAGATATTCAAGCTTTCTTTGTTTAATTCTATTCACGATTTCTTTCTCCTTTCCGATTCTTTGGAGTACCTCTATGTTGGTGATATGTTCGGTCCAGGATATACGAAGAATGCGTCGGTACACCTACATTTCGAATGCTTCTAGTTTTCTTGTTAGCGTCTTCGTCAGCGTCCAGGCCTCCACGCCATACAGCAAGATCGGAAAAATGTAGCATTTAACTATACGTAGTTTTAGGAGAAGAGACAAATCCTTGCTTATGAGGAGCTTTTTCATATTGCTAAATGCTGCTCTAGCTCGTTCTATTCTCGCCTTAATTTCTATGGTATTCATCCTTTAAAAGTACAAATTTCTTATACAAGGTGGTTTTTTACAAATGCAGTCGGGCTACTTTATGATCGTCCTTAGACGAGGCTTTTGAAGGTCTTTTAGATCAATTATATTCTCTTAATCTATTTTGCACCATTTTATCACTACCCATTACTCCATTGGCCATTTCATTCTCTAAATAGATTTCTAGTGATAGATCTGCAATAGCCTAATGCTATAAAATAATAAATAAGTCATCTTATTGTGGAGTCGTTTTCTTTTTGCGACTTTTTAAATTTTGTTAAGGTCCATCATTCTTTTAAACTAATATTTTGATTTCAATAATTTTTTTACGTTTACCCTAGAAACGTTGTTATAAGTTTGTTTAGCTAAAATATTTACCACTGAAGCTATTCGAATTTATTTATATGCATATTTTTCAAAAAAGTTTTAAAGTATTTATTACGCTAATTTTGTGCCCACTGATATATTTCCATATGTTTTTAATACAAGCCTAAGTATTTTTTTAACTAATTTTGTATGTTATAAACATATCGTTAAACTACTCTTTACTATGTTTGTGTTATCAGATAAGTCAAGGAAGACTTTTACCTAATTTTAAAACGATCATTAAGAAATTTTCCAATAACGATATTTATTTCCTAATAATTAAAAAATAATTGTGTTAAGACGTATAAAATTTTAAATTGTTTATTTCATTTTGGTTGTGAAGTTGTCGTCTCATATCGGACACGTTCACAGTTGGTTGATAGGGTATCGTTAACTCCACTATAATAGGTAAGCGGCGCATCCGGGAAAATATGTAATCCCCTTGAAAAAGGACAACTGATTAAAAAACGGGAATAACGGCCTTATGTTATTTGAAACAAAAAACTAAAGGACAATATACTGAAGCAATCATAAAGGTGCGTTTTCACCAAGCGCGCAAAATGTTTGCAAATGATTGGAACTGTTAGCAAACAATTTTATTTGGTTGGTGTAGACAGATTTCAGGACGCTCCCAAACAATTGCAAACGTTTGTGTCGGCTGTCGGTACTTCAAAGGGATTCGTTGTTCGTGCGTGTTTGTTGGAGACACTAGGTTTTATAGTCTGTCATAGTAGAAAGGAATAGTTTGTGATTAGTAATTAGTAGAGACTTATTTGATTTTTACAAAAAAAATGGAATGGGATAATGAGAAATGTTGAGAATTAATTGATTTTACAAAATGAAACCACAAATATGGAATGTCAGTTATGACTGGGTTCGAAACTATAAACAGATACATAAAGCTGTGGTATGAATCTCGTTTGGTAAATAGCGAAGAGTTATGGCCAATTTCACTTTCACGGGAATACAATCCCTGTAGTTTGTATCTCTTTTGCTTATTCCATGACCGATTAGTGCTTATTAAGTATTAAAAGTCTTCTTGTGAAACTTTTAAATAAGCCACTTCTTTCTTCCATTCTTATATCATTTAGAAGTTCTATTGAACTTCTCCTTTTTAAAAAATTTGACATCCAAAATCTTCGATTTCTTCTTTTTTATATATTCTCGTTTTTTACTAACTCAGACATGATTATAAAAATAGTCGCACATATAACTTCTCTTCTCGGAGCCATTTTGTACAAACAAGACGAAACGATGGCAAATGTTTGCAAACTTACTCAAATACTCGAGTTATTGTTTTTGACAAACATGTTGCACTAATAATACAATAGTGTCGTAACTAAAAAAAGATGATTTTTCAGAATCAACGAAAAACTTATTAATCATTTCCTATTGCAGATAAACAAAAAATAATTCATAATATATTTCTAATTAATTTTAAAGGAAGGTTCTTTGTAATATTATTTAAATAAAAATGCTGACAGTGAAGGTATTTAAAAATTTTGAGGTAACACTATATTGCTCTAAGCAAAATGTTCGAAATGAAATATTTTTAATTATGACATTACAGTTTTTGGACTTACAACAATTTTAGGAACTGATTCTTGGTATTTATTAACATTGAATCTAAAGAGACTGTATTGCACGTTAACAATTATTACCGAGAATTTTTGTTTTTGATATTAATAAATAAATCAAGACTATTTTAATTACGTTTATATTATAATGAAAGAAATTCAGATACACACAACAAAATACAGTATTCTTAAACATTTTGTACTTAATCTATAATATTTACGTTGTTTGCTATGTTTTCATCTTGCATTAAGCCACACACTTTTTTTTGGATAGGCCTGTAGCAATGGGTCGATCGTTTATAGCAAGAGTATTTTAAAAAAATGTTTTGCTAACTTTAATGTGATCATTGTTTACTGTAAAATTAAATCCAGTGTTTAGTTTGAGAAAATTTTGTGTTAAAGAATATCTGTATTTGGTTTAATTTGTTTTTGCAATCTCCCAAACTCCAATATTTAAAAAAAATATCTTGTCTTGATGTCTCGTTCATTCGTAAACGACAGTTTAACCTGCATTTTTCGATACAAATCTGGCCCATTTTCCTTGCAGGTACTTTTTTTTTGTTCACAGATTCATACGATTTTCATTCATACGATTCATTACGCAGGTTTTAATATTACGTATCCTCTTTTGCCCTACTTGATGAAGAGTTACTCGTAGAAGATCTACTCGATGAAAAGCTTCTTGAAGAAGAGCTACTTGCTGGTTTTATTGTTAGACCTCGAAGCACCTCGTTTTACTTTGCACGCCAGGAATGAAATGCGGATCTCGGTCGGAATCATCGGAATCAAAGTCGCCCTGATCTGAGTGCATCGGTGAAATGTAATATTGCCTTTGGTTAAATTCTGTAATAAGTTTAACATTACTAATCTTACTAAAGAAACCGTTTACGCCAATTTCTTGAAGTACTTGATGACTCGTAAATGGTGAAGGTATAGGCGGTGGTTGTACTTTCGCAACGTCACTGTTTTCTATTTGGGCACCAGGTTCATTATTTCTACTCTCCAGTGACAATAACGATGGTGAAAAGATTTTGTACTCGCAATTCTCAGCATTTGTTGCCAAAGCAACAAGTAATCGCCCAGGACTCATAAGTATTGAACCTAAAAATGAATCAAGTAATATTATTAGATTAAGTATACAGGTACTTGACGCAAGAATGTCACAAAGAGTGTAGTAACTCTAAATTTATAAAATAAAATAGTTGGTAAACTTTCCTAATAACACTGCTACACATTTTAAATGAGTTATTACTGTCCGGTGATCGACAAATAAATAATGATTAATAAATGTTTTACAAACAACAACAAAAATGATTTAAAGTTGGTGTAACGTGTAATGTAATGTAACGTGTTAAAAATAGTGAACCGAACCAATAATAGTGTCGTTAGTAAAAATATTATTTAAAAAGTGCTGGTGTAAATCAGTAATAGTGTAATAACTAGAAAAACAGCAATGTTAGGATTAGTTTCAAATCAACAGAATGTAATAACTCGAATTATAGCTATGAAAATTACATACCTGATTCAGCAATAACGTGGAAACTCGAAACGATGAGCAAAGCAACACATGGGTTCCCGATCACTGTTGGTCGCAACTAAAGATGACGCGATATTGTGAGGTGGGTGACGACTAAACGACAGTTTTATTGACTTATAGGGTATTGAATTTTACGTATGGATATAATGTTATGTAAATTTCGAAACATTTTGAGTTGCGACACTATTGTATTATTAGTGCGATGCATTGAAACGTTAGCAAATGCTTTTCCTCTGGGGATGGTTAGCACTCCAACTCGTGGGTAAAAAAAATTATAAAAAAAACATGGTAGTCACTAGAAGAGCGAATTTTAAGATAAAAATGTTCTTTAAACGTTTTTTTCGAAAAATCAATATTTTAGAAGTTATTCGTGACTAAAAGTTCACAAATTACACATAAAAAAAGCAAGTTATTAACCGGTCTTTCGCGAATAACTCCAAAAAATTTTATTTTATCGGAAAAACTGTTTGGATATAAAACGAAGCTTATAGAATAAAGAGTCCATTTTTATTATTTATCCTAAACTTATTATTACTAAAGTTATGGCTCGAAAGTAGACTTTTATTCATCGAATAAAAAATATTGCGCTGAAACTATTTTCTTGTGACATTTTAAAGTAATTACTATTTAAATGGGAATAAGCCACAAAGTAAAAGTAAGTTTATTGACGTTTCAATTTCCACTTCGGAAATCGTTCCCAAAATACAAACATTAGTAAATTAAACAAATTGTTTTTTTTTTGTTACGTGGTGAAAAATTCTTCTAATAATTTAATTTTATCTAATTATACATTTTAAAGTAGGCGACTTTAAAATGATATTGCCAATATAGTTGAGTTGCGTTCCTGGGACGACTTTATTTGTAAGATGACTTTATCTTGAGAAATCCGTCAGAAAAGAAAATATTTTGATCAAATTATTTTTAGTTTACATATAGTATAATATGAAAATTCATATAAGAAACAAACAAATATACATTTAAACAAATTTAATATTCTTTTAGAACAAAACAGTATACACACTTTAGATAACCTCAATAGAAATAATAGTACAGTCACTGAAGCTTTTCACTCCTATTTCGTTGAACCTCCATCGATTTTCTTGAAAATGGGTGAGTAGTTAGAGGATACCCTGTAGAGAAACAAAAGTGACATGGTGTCAACTTTTACCGCTTTTACCCTAGGGGTGGATGCCACACCTTCTCGGGGGAAATTATTTTATTACAAATAATCCCAGGAATCGATAGAGGGATCAAATCTAAAGAAAATTTATCTTATAAGTTATTAAAATAAATCAATACTTTTTGAGTTATTCAAGATCAGAGATTTTAATTTTTCGTGAAAAAATGAATGTTTTAAAGCGGTTTTTCATATATAACTCAAGTTGTTATAAAAAAGTTGTCATTAACAATATTAAAGCTAATAAAAAATTGAATAAATGTCTTGCTTGAAAAACCTTTTAATATTAATTCAAAGTGAGTTATAGGTAATTAAATGTATTTTTTTGTGGGGTACTCAAATCTGAATATTCAAGCGTAAATAACGGGAAAACAATTCATTTTATATATAAAATATACTTATTGAACAATTTTCAAAGTTCTCAGAAATACCTATAAAATGAGCTCTAGAAGAAGTTGATAGCATCAAAATGAAGCATGTTATGATGAAAATAAGAGGACCCTTTCGAATTTTTGTGGAAAAAGTGAAAAATAAAACATACACCATTTCCACAAAAATTAAAATTTATAGTAATCCATATAAGACTTTCTTTATTTTAGTATATGTAATGACCTTAACAATTTTGACTGGTTTAGAATGCATATTTTTGAAAAAAAGTTTGATTTAAAAAATTAGAATTTTTCAAATTTTCATTTTCTTTTTAAAATTACTCCATATATACTCAATATACGAAGATTTTCCTTTTTTTTAATAGTTTTGTAGAAGAAAAAATACCTGAGATAAAAACGTTTAAAACTTAAATTTTTCTGAGAGAACCATGTAACCGGGGCCCTTTAACCTTTAATCTTTTTAAAAATAAGGGATTTAAAAGAATAAATTTAATACGACTTTATGGCCCTTGAAATTACCTTTCAAATTGTTTTGAATGAACCTAATATCATAAAAATTAAGGGAAATATCGTAAAATAATCAATATCATTTTTTAGAAAAATTTTTGGAGTAGATATTTTGTGTGTATATGTAGGAAAAAAGATCTGCTCAAAAATATATTGGGTCTTTCTAAAAGTATGCTGTGTCTATTAAATATTCCAGTATAACTCAACAGATATAGCTGCAACGTTCAAGGTCACTTCATCGATAAAGGGAGTAGCAAAAACTCAGTTATATGCAAGCGGCCGAAGTGTAAACATCCATATATTTAGCATGGAACATAAATTTTAGTGTGTTTGCTACGTTGTCGAATAACTTCGATAACATCGGATTCTGAGTGCACAATATCGTGAAATTATATGCTCGGTTTTTTTATGACTAAAAACTTAGCAAAAGACATAATATTTATTAATTACCTCAAACATTTTAACTTTGAGATTAGTGCTCTGATAATAAATATAATTATAAACTCATTACAGTAATTAGTTAGTATTAATATTACAGTTCAATACCTCTAAAATAATATTCGATTAGGCAACACCGCATCAACCAACGACTGTCGTGTCTGGTTGTGTCAAATCCAGGGGTAGTTTTTAAAGGTGCAAAATTACGCAATAAATAAATAAATACTTTAATACTCAGTAAATGAGATTTCAATTCAGTAATGTATTATTCAAATAATTAAAGTTTCTTGAAATTAATTTTTTCAATGATTCTGCTTTAAAGGGGTGATTTTTGCAAACTTACTCAAATACTCGAGTTATTGTTTTTGACAAACATGTTGCACTAATAATACAATAGTGTCGTAACTAAAAAAAGATGATTTTTCAGAATCAACGAAAAACTTATTAATCATTTCCTATTGCAGATAAACAAAAAATAATTCATAATATATTTCTAATTAATTTTAAAGGAAGGTTCTTTGTAATATTATTTAAATAAAAATGCTGACAGTGAAGGTATTTAAAAATTTTGAGGTAACACTATATTGCTCTAAGCAAAATGTTCGAAATGAAATATTTTTAATTATGACATTACAGTTTTTGGACTTACAACAATTTTAGGAACTGATTCTTGGTATTTATTAACATTGAATCTAAAGAGACTGTATTGCACGTTAACAATTATTACCGAGAATTTTTGTTTTTGATATTAATAAATAAATCAAGACTATTTTAATTACGTTTATATTATAATGAAAGAAATTCAGATACACACAACAAAATACAGTATTCTTAAACATTTTGTACTTAATCTATAATATTTACGTTGTTTGCTATGTTTTCATCTTGCATTAAGCCACACACTTTTTTTTGGATAGGCCTGTAGCAATGGGTCGATCGTTTATAGCAAGAGTATTTTAAAAAAATGTTTTGCTAACTTTAATGTGATCATTGTTTACTGTAAAATTAAATCCAGTGTTTAGTTTGAGAAAATTTTGTGTTAAAGAATATCTGTATTTGGTTTAATTTGTTTTTGCAATCTCCCAAACTCCAATATTTAAAAAAAATATCTTGTCTTGATGTCTCGTTCATTCGTAAACGACAGTTTAACCTGCATTTTTCGATACAAATCTGGCCCATTTTCCTTGCAGGTACTTTTTTTTTGTTCACAGATTCATACGATTTTCATTCATACGATTCATTACGCAGGTTTTAATATTACGTATCCTCTTTTGCCCTACTTGATGAAGAGTTACTCGTAGAAGATCTACTCGATGAAAAGCTTCTTGAAGAAGAGCTACTTGCTGGTTTTATTGTTAGACCTCGAAGCACCTCGTTTTACTTTGCACGCCAGGAATGAAATGCGGATCTCGGTCGGAATCATCGGAATCAAAGTCGCCCTGATCTGAGTGCATCGGTGAAATGTAATATTGCCTTTGGTTAAATTCTGTAATAAGTTTAACATTACTAATCTTACTAAAGAAACCGTTTACGCCAATTTCTTGAAGTACTTGATGACTCGTAAATGGTGAAGGTATAGGCGGTGGTTGTACTTTCGCAACGTCACTGTTTTCTATTTGGGCACCAGGTTCATTATTTCTACTCTCCAGTGACAATAACGATGGTGAAAAGATTTTGTACTCGCAATTCTCAGCATTTGTTGCCAAAGCAACAAGTAATCGCCCAGGACTCATAAGTATTGAACCTAAAAATGAATCAAGTAATATTATTAGATTAAGTATACAGGTATTTGACGCAAGAATGCCACAAAGAGTGTAGTAACTCTAAATTTATAAAATAAAATAGTTGGTAAACTTTCCTAATAACACTGCTACAAATTTTAAATGAGTTATTACTGTCCGGTGATCGACAAATAAATAATGATTAATAAATGTTTTACAAACAACAACAAAAATGATTTAAAGTTGGTGTAACGTGTAATGTAATGTAACGTGTTAAAAATAGTGAACCGAACCAATAATAGTGTCGTTAGTAAAAATATTATTTAAAAAGTGCTGGTGTAAATCAGTAATAGTGTAATAACTAGAAAAACAGCAATGTTAGGATTAGTTTCAAATCAACAGAATGTAATAACTCGAATTATAGCTATGAAAATTACATACCTGATTCAGCAATAACGTGGAAACTCGAAACGATGAGCAAAGCAACACATGGGTTCCCGATCACTGTTGGTCGCAACTAAAGATGACGCGATATTGTGAGGTGGGTGACGACTAAACGACAGTTTTATTGACTTATAGGGTATTGAATTTTACGTATGGATATAATGTTATGTAAATTTCGAAACATTTTGAGTTGCGACACTATTGTATTATTAGTGCGATGCATTGAAACGTTAGCAAATGCTTTTCCTCTGGGGATGGTTAGCACTCCAACTCGTGGGTAAAAAAAATTATAAAAAAAACATGGTAGTCACTAGAAGAGCGAATTTTAAGATAAAAATGTTAGAAATATATAAGAATATAAATAAGAAACAAACAAATATACATTTAAACAAATTTAATATTCTTTTAGAACAAAACAGTATACACACTTTAGATAACCTCAATAGAAATAATAGTACAGTCACTGAAGCTTTTCACTCCTATTTCGTTGAACCTCCATCGATTTTCTTGAAAATGGGTGAGTAGTTAGAGGATACCCTGTAGAGAAACAAAAGTGACATGGTGTCAACTTTTACCGCTTTTACCCTAGGGGTGGATGCCACACCTTCTCGGGGGAAATTATTTTATTACAAATAATCCCAGGAATCGATAGAGGGATCAAATCTAAAGAAAATTTATCTTATAAGTTATTAAAATAAATCAATACTTTTTGAGTTATTCAAGATCAGAGATTTTAATTTTTCGTGAAAAAATGAATGTTTTAAAGCGGTTTTTCATATATAACTCAAGTTGTTATAAAAAAGTTGTCATTAACAATATTAAAGCTAATAAAAAATTGAATAAATGTCTTGCTTGAAAAACCTTTTAATATTAATTCAAAGTGAGTTATAGGTAATTAAATGTATTTTTTTGTGGGGTACTCAAATCTGAATATTCAAGCGTAAATAACGGGAAAACAATTCATTTTATATATAAAATATACTTATTGAACAATTTTCAAAGTTCTCAGAAATACCTATAAAATGAGCTCTAGAAGAAGTTGATAGCATCAAAATGAAGCATGTTATGATGAAAATAAGAGGACCCTTTCGAATTTTTGTGGAAAAAGTGAAAAATAAAACATACACCATTTCCACAAAAATTAAAATTTATAGTAATCCATATAAGACTTTCTTTATTTTAGTATATGTAATGACCTTAACAATTTTGACTGGTTTAGAATGCATATTTTTGAAAAAAAGTTTGATTTAAAAAATTAGAATTTTTCAAATTTTCATTTTCTTTTTAAAATTACTCCATATATACTCAATATACGAAGATTTTCCTTTTTTTTAATAGTTTTGTAGAAGAAAAAATACCTGAGATAAAAACGTTTAAAACTTAAATTTTTCTGAGAGAACCATGTAACCGGGGCCCTTTAACCTTTAATCTTTTTAAAAATAAGGGATTTAAAAGAATAAATTTAATACGACTTTATGGCCCTTGAAATTACCTTTCAAATTGTTTTGAATGAACCTAATATCATAAAAATTAAGGGAAATATCGTAAAATAATCAATATCATTTTTTAGAAAAATTTTTGGAGTAGATATTTTGTGTGTATATGTAGGAAAAAAGATCTGCTCAAAAATATATTGGGTCTTTCTAAAAGTATGCTGTGTCTATTAAATATTCCAGTATAACTCAACAGATATAGCTGCAACGTTCAAGGTCACTTCATCGATAAAGGGAGTAGCAAAAACTCAGTTATATGCAAGCGGCCGAAGTGTAAACATCCATATATTTAGCATGGAACATAAATTTTAGTGTGTTTGCTACGTTGTCGAATAACTTCGATAACATCGGATTCTGAGTGCACAATATCGTGAAATTATATGCTCGGTTTTTTTATGACTAAAAACTTAGCAAAAGACATAATATTTATTAATTACCTCAAACATTTTAACTTTGAGATTAGTGCTCTGATAATAAATATAATTATAAACTCATTACAGTAATTAGTTAGTATTAATATTACAGTTCAATACCTCTAAAATAATATTCGATTAGGCAACACCGCATCAACCAACGACTGTCGTGTCTGGTTGTGTCAAATCCAGGGGTAGTTTTTAAAGGTGCAAAATTACGCAATAAATAAATAAATACTTTAATACTCAGTAAATGAGATTTCAATTCAGTAATGTATTATTCAAATAATTAAAGTTTCTTGAAATTAATTTTTTCAATGATTCTGCTTTAAAGGGGTGATTTTTAAGGGTTGAAAATTTGAAGGGTTGAAAAGTCAATCAAAAATATATTAAAAACATTACAGAAACTATTTGGGTAATATTAATATGAGATTGGATATTTCAGAAATACAAAAAATGATTTTCATGATTTTCGATTTAAGGGATAGTTGCTAAAAGGTTTGAAAAATTAATTAAAATCATAAATATTGCTTATAAATATTGCAAAATATTTATTTTATTTAATTAATCGAGATTACTTACGCGAAGATGCTTAAATCTGCATTTTTTACAATTTGTAACAAAAGGGATGGATTTCACCTCTAAAATGCAAAATGCGCAAGTTAAGCATATGTCACTTTAAAAGTTAAGGGGAAAATATACTCAATCCCAAATTTTCATGCAAATCGAAATCGGAGGTAATAGTTGATTTTTACCTTAATTCACTGTACTATAATGACATATTAGAGACAGTTGTCAATTTATCAAATAGACATTTAAATGCAACGGAGAGTTTAATACTGTCAAAAGGTCTAAACTTTGCTATTACTCATCCATCTATTCTAAAATTAGACATAATAAGCTCAGTGGAGAAAATATCTCAATGTTTACCAACACACAAAAAGGAAGAATACAGAGTATTTTTTATGTGAACTTGAATTATAAATGTCTATCAAAATTAAACAAAACATAAGCAAAGAGGAACTAAAGGCAACAAGAACTTTGAAAAACGACGTCTCCATAATCATGCTACCAACAGAATGCAACTGTGATAATGGATAAAGTTCAATATGAAAACAAAATTAAAGATCCAATAATAAACGGACCTTGCACAAAATATGTTGTATGTTGCTCCAATTGAGCCTCCTCTCATTACTTGTGGATTCATACTTATTCGAGGAATTACGAACCAAGAGGCACAAACTGTCCTGAAGAATTTACGCATTTACAGCGCATATTATGGTAACATTTTTCCCTCTTTCACAAGATATTATGGATCTTACTTGTTTTTGACCTTTGGTGCCAAAACTTTGTGTTGCTAAACGTCTAGTTCTGCTGTTGTTATTCTAAAAAACATATTCGCCAATTTTTTAACATGGTTGGCTATGGTGGATTCCTGCTTACCATTAAAAATTGGTTTCCTGTCAAATTTAAATTTTTTATGGCTATTGACCTTTGGTTTGTCACTTAGAGTGGGTTTCTGGAATATTGAATGATTAACCTACTTCTCGTATTTTTCTCCCAGATCGTATAGCAATGATAGCAGCTTTTAGTTCATCTTCTGTCCATTTTGATCATTTGATTTTCCGAACGTAAGCATGGACCATTTTAGAATCTAAAAAGCAATACAAACACTATATCAGCAAAAATTCTCACATCGGGTAATACCGTGCAGCGCGAAATTACCCTGATACAGCTGCGCGTTATTCTCCCTAGTTGAGAAATCTAGCCTAACTTACGACTGTTCGTTAATGACTAAATACAATGCATTGTTTTTGTACGTGAAATTATGTATACATATAAAGCTAAATATCCATGGAATAGTTTTAAAATTAATAACAAAGGTACTTACCACTTTTTAAAGATTATTCGAATATTACATCAACTTGAAAATCAGTCTTGAAATCAGTCTTGAAAAAACAAACAATTGGCGACCTTGTCTAATACGAATGTAGTCATATTACAAACGTGTGGTCGGCTAGCAAATACGAGAATGCACCCATTGTTGAATGTTGAAATACTTGCCAAGTGTTGCCAAGATACTGATGCGCGGTATTCCCCCGGTCTCCCATAGCAGATGACCTACATTGTTGGGATAACTTGTATATCCTATATTATAGGATCTGAGAATATTAAAAGAACCAAGACAAGTAAACTATTTCCATTTATAGATTCTATCATCTTCCTTCTTTTTTTAGTATTCAATTTTATGTTTTTACTGTGAACCATTTCTTAGTATGTTTGTGTTTACCACTCTGGACACTGGATGCTGCAAATCTGAATTTGATCGGGCATTTTACTATTTGTTTACATGGTTTCACTCTATGGGTATTTTTCAAGCAAATTTATTTCTTTATTTAGTTTGACTTATAACTTGTGCATCTACAGAGTCGTCCTTTCCATTTCATACAAATAAAATCTATAGAAACTATGTTACTCGCTATGTTACCAATGTATGCGATATTTTAATGGTATAAGGAAATTAGGAAAAATTATACAGATTTTTGGACAGTAGGCTTTTATGGGTTAACAATATCAGTTCATCAATAAATCCATAGTTATAAAAACAGACATATATTCATAAATAAAAGATTTTTATTTGATTCAATTGTAACTATAATAATTTATAATGCACTAGTAATAAAACAAAAAAATGTAAAACAAAAAAATAATAAGAACAATTTTTCAGCAGTCTAGAAATTAATAACGAGTTACAGTACAATTTTTTATAGCTAGTATTTTTGCAATATCATTATTTTACAGAGTATTAACTTCTTTAATATTTTTTTTCTGTAGAACTACTTGACTAGAATTCATCAAGTACCGGTTTAAAAAAATAACAGTACTTGCGACTAGAACTTTACTCTTTTTCAGCGTAGCAAAATATTCGACTGAAAATTGACGAGCATAATACACCAACTACGTTATTTTACGAAAATCCTAGAATTCTTTGTGTCCCAGTAATTTTTTAAAGACCTATCAAACAAGACGAAATTTTGGCGAAACATATTATCTAAAATTATTTGTTTAAACGTTTACTGTTATAGTGCTTTTAATGAAAACTAAGACTGAGTTCCCGAGGAAGACGCTAAAATGGTAGTCGAAAGCTTGACGTATACAAAATCGACGCAGTTCTAAATA